TACTATCACTCTTAATTCAATAACAAATTCTAGTGGTGTCACTAGTGTGTATCATTAGCAGCATTTAAGATTTTACCTAAAACATTTAATGTGAAGATAACTTACAATATGAATATACATCATAAAATTTTTGTTCAAATTAAGTTTTTGTATATTTTGGGAAAGAACGTATTTCCCATACAATACTACTATAAATTATAAATAAGGGGATTATTATGTGTGGCCACACCGTGTGACCGAGATTACTCGAGTTACTCAGCCAAGGGTTACTCGAGTTACTCCTGATCAAGTAACCCCTCAAATAACCCTGACCACCCTCAGCTCGAGTAACCCCTAACCAAGTAACCCCTGACCGAACTCCTCAAGTAATTCAATTCCTGATCAAACTCCTCAAGTAATTCCTAACCGAACTCCTTAAGTAACCCTTGACTAAGTAAGGTCCTGTTCTTTTGAGCTTCTAGACAAAGCAGAGCAGAGCAGAGTAGGGATTAGCAGAGCAAAGTAGGGGTTAGCAGAGCAGAGCTTCCAACACTGCAGAGCAGAATAGCTCAAAAGAACGGAGCCTAACTCGAGTAACCCCTGACCCAACCCCTCAAGTAACCTCTGACCGAGTAACTCAAGTAACCCTTGACCGAATAACTCGAGTAACCCCGGCCACACGATGTGGCCAGCCACATATAAAACTTTGTTTTATAAACAATATGAAGCACTACATAATTGTTTATATATGATGATATTTTTCATTTCCCTTTTCAGTCCAATACACATATTATGAGCCACTTTACTATATACTTTGATTTTTATTCAACATTGTTGATTTTTGTTCAACTAAATAGTTCCTACATCTATATTTCATACAAGTACTACTAAATAATTGTTCTTATATTCATATCCATAACTCATTATCTCCGATCACATTCAATTCTCCATTAAAATAACAATCAATGGGATAATTACAAATATTTTCTTTATACTTTATGCGTTGATAAATGGTTAAACTATTCCATGTATGAGATAATATTTTTCACATTTACCATCCGTACGTCTAATACTCTAATAGTCTTAATGATCTATGCTTATATCCTTTACGGTGTAATGACGAACAATTACTTGTAACATGTTTCCCATGTTGAATATTGGAAATTTTGTGCGTTGACCAAAAATAAAAGAAAAAAAGACTAGTCTTTTAATTTCTTTTGTTGGAGGGAATTTTAGACTAGTCTTTGTTGCATGAATTCCCTTTCCTTCTCGAAGGTCCCTATTAAGGACAGTGACGGTTTCAATGGAGCGTTGCAACTATTGGCCTATTATGGTCCCAAATAGCCAAATTTATTACTCGAATGATAGTGATTTTACTGTTAAATATTCACGTGTATTAGGATTTTCGATGACTTATTATATTTTCATGATTATTATAATATAGTTTATTCAGCATTTCATGCATTTTATGCCTAATGACTTGTAGTAATTCTTTTTACGAGGAGAATTCGTATTATTCGTGGGACGTCTTTCCATGTACAACAAGTACTTGATGTATTTTAAGGTGATCCTTAGTGGTATTGGAGATTAGCTTGTGGTCCCACACTAAGCCAAATGATGTAAGTACTAAATACTGTATAACTACCCAATAGTTCTTTAATCCTTGTATTTTAGACTAAATTAGTGTCATCATTAGCGACTAATTTAGTATCGAAGATTTAAAACAATTGTCAAAATGACCATTTGAAATATATTATGTTGGCCTTGTTGGGAATTAGGATCAACTTTGGCTATTATTATTGACCTGACTTAGTGATCAAGCCGCCATGTGGTTGTTACTCTTGTTAGTACATTTAAGACCACTTTGTATATTTTTTATTCTGTCGATAACCTGTTATTACAAAGCTCCACAAATGTGATGCCACGAGCCAAAATAAGCCATACATTTTTACAAAAATTTTGGACCATAATAAGCTCTCCTCGCCATCATTATTGTGGCCTTTCCAAGTTATAAATCATATGATAGATATGAAGATTGTTCTACCACTCTGAAATCTCTCACAATTCTCCCCGATCTGTAATAGACAAGTAAACATTTTGAGAATACGGAGCAGATGAGAAGGATTATTGGTCCCACTCCACGTGATGATTATGGAACCAATGGAGGCATAATGCAATAGAGTGTAATATGGGTTAATTAAAAAAAAAAATCGAATTAACCTTTAATTTTTGGACCCACGTGAGAAGTTGGGTGGGTAGTAGCATACTAGCATGCCCGGCAACCGTATCTCGGATTTTCAATTTTGATACCATTGCATTTGATACCTTACCCACCTAGCCTTCTCAACATTTACAATCTACTAGTAATTTCAATTTTTCTTAAATACAATATTGATTGTTGATCTCAATTGATGCTACGAGTGCATAAAATACTCATTTTGTTTCCTTATGTTCTATTAGGATTTTATAAGTTTTTACGACGTGAAGTTAATAAGAGACAAATTTGAAGGATTAAATGTAAAAAATGATGGAGTAAGATCGGGATAAACCTATCACATTCACTTATATTATTGAGCAAATTAAGATAATTTTTGGAAAAAAATGTTTCTCGTATTTGGTATTGTCTCTCAATCAGCTAATTTATTTTTTAAAGTAATGGCTCACTATATAGTTCTTATTAAGGGGGCGTTTGGTTTTGAAAATGGAAATAGAGTGGAAATGAAACAAATAAGAGGGGGGAAAGAATCATTTAACTATTACTTTTTCATTTGTTTGGTTTAACCATGGAAAGGGTATTTGTTAAGAGGAAGGTAAGGGTATTTGTTACCCTAAGTTTTTGAGAGGTAACAATTGCTACCATGCCTCCTAACCAAACACACGGTAACAGTATCGGTTTAATCGAATCCGTTTCCTATCCAACAACTACACTAACCAAACGCCCCCTAAACGTTTATAGTTGTCTTACAGAGTACTTATATATAGCTAACCCATTAAATTGATCAAAATTCTTTTTAGCATTAATTACTTAACTTGGATGTAATCTACCTAATGGACTTCATTGCTAAGCTCAATACTTAAGAAAAAGAAACATTATAAAGAGAGATGATGATAGGGCACATGATCAAGTGTATTGAAACTTGAAAAGATCCACTTAATATTGTCACAAACAGTGAAATAGGTACAAGTTTCAACATTGTATGGTTGATGACTTGATGATGGTGCGCAAAAATAAATATAGCAGTATGATTCTTCTTTGAAATTCCTCAAAGTTTAGCTTTATTAATTACAACGTTCAGCCAGATTCAATTGACATGTAGAGTAAATTAATAGTTTAGATTACACTATCATTGTGCGATGATAAGTATTTTCAAATTTAAAGAGCATTGGTTAGTTTAAATTTAAATTATACGAGTACCATAATTTTGGGATGACAAGTATTTTCAAACAAAGAGTTTTAACTCTCAATCGGTAATTAAGTCGCTCTATCATTATGTAAAGACAAGTAATTTCAAACAGAAAGATTATTAGTTCGCAATCATGATTAGTCTTATAATTAAATAAAACAAAATTGCAGTCGGTCATCATAGTTGGCTGGCTGTTGACATTATAAGTTAATGACTTGATGTTTTGTTGACAAGGAATATGGCCACCTTAAAAAGGGGCCAGAAGAATATTCTTGTTCATTTCTAGATAATTGAGCTCTAAATTCTAGTACTTGTATTACATTTTTGTAATCTACTTATATTTTCCTAATGCCATTTTCCTCTTCCTTTTGTACTTTGTCTTTCTCTTAAGACTTTGAATATCTTTTATTTTACCTAAATTGGGGGCAGGGGTTAGAAGACTTAAAACTTAGAAGGCAATTGACAATGGTGTTGTATATCTTATTTTTAGCAAGCTAAATTTCTAGAATATAGGAAAAATTCTAAACTAGATTACAAAGTTAACTTTTGATGGATCAAAAATAAGGAAACAACTCACAAAATGAGACACGACACATATAGGAACATGATCCTAACCGGCTAACTTGTAGATAGTTTTACAATTTTGTATCGATTTAGATGAAATTAAAACTTGAAATTTAGTACTACCTCCGTTAATTATTATGTGCAACTAAGGGGTATTATTTGTGAGATATAAAATATTTCTTTGTTGCACATAATAATTAATGGAGGTAGTATAATGTATTGATTTTGATCTAACAATGAAACTTATCCCCTTACTAGTTGTTTGGTTTAGCCTTTCGGTATTAGGAAAAAAGCAGCCATATCAAAGCTTTCAAAAACAATCGACTTGTGATGCTTCAACCCCTTCCACGCTATTGTCACCCTAGGTCGGGATAGGAGTAACTGCTTGTCGATGAGTTTTTCAATCTCGATGAAAGACTAGGAAATTGTAGTTGAACCTGTCCTAAGATTTTATCTAATCGTCGGTTCGTCGCCTTAGAAAAGGATTGTCTATGCATAAGATATCAATCTACATATAATGTAAATCTTTCTATTACAAATACTACTATACAAAATTGTCACACTTAATATTTTGCTCAAATGTCATGAACAACAAATAAGTTACGGAGTATCTATCATCAAAGAGAGGAACAAGCAAGAGGTTAAAAGTGCATGTCTTTCTTTCAGAAAAGATGCCACTTTTTCCTCCAGCGGCCCAAACAGAAAGATTAACAAACATCATTCATTTTGGGCTTATTAATTAAAAAAGCTCTTTTTTTTTTTTTTTTTGGTAAGATGGTTCAGTAGCAAAGGGCAAATTTTTCTCGAGAATCTAGTACTGTCCAGACCTGCAATCAAAACATCGTAATATTTCGAACATCACAACAATTTATAGGAAAAACAGCCTAAAGGATAAACAACAGAAAATGGTGTGTGGCCAGGGAGGCAGATAATTATATACTCGTGTTAGTAAACGACACTAATCACGTGCTAATAACAGCCTACGACCTGTTTCTGCAGTATCCTTGCAATAGGAAAAACATAGAAAAACTAATGAAGACCGGAAAGCATGACTAATTATCCAAGTTTGTCCTTCCACATTGTATAACTGCATCGGTTTTGATTACTTGTAGGAACACTAGATACAGGCGCCACACTGTCTACTATAACATTGCCCTCACAGTCTATCATATAAGATATATCTAAGCTTTCCAAATTAAGATGATAAACAATAAGGCTAGGATCACATATTTCGCTTACAGGATTGAGGGTTTCTTCACCTTCACCATCTTCTCCATTTGGAGAAATTTCAGTTGGTTCTACGTTTCCTACAGTCAATATGGATTTATGAGGTCGGTGTCTCTGTGATGATGATCGTATGTCCCATGAAAGAACCTGCTCAATCAATTTCTTCATCTCACTGGGTGATGAATACAAACTGCTTCTCTTCTGAAAATAGATTAGTTTTAGTCAATTGCATTGGAAAACTATGACACTCAAGATCATGCAGACAAGAACATTACAATTCTGGAATTGACCCTCTTATCTATAACTGGAGTAATTCACTCAGTTTCTAAAAGGCAAAGAGTTGTCAACACTTGGAATGGAACAAAAATGAAAAAAGAGTTACCCTTGTGTTTTCAAAGAAGTATTTCACTTACCCTTGAACATATAATATCATTCAATTATAGTTCCAAGGTAATTTTGGCCATGTTTGACAGACAAATTTAAAAGAAATCACCAAGCTGAAGGGGCAATTACATATTAACACCTTATAACTTGCTAAGATCCATATGTTGCAGTAGTATGTGTTCTAAATAATATAGGGATGACGGAACCAAAATTCCAAAGACCCAAGTTGGTACAGGATTGTTTCGGCTGGGCCTACAGCATTGCCAAAATAAAGACAGGCACATTCTAATCCCTCTCAATAAACATGGGGTACCTAAGAGTAATTTTGGAGATAATCTTCAGCATTCTAATAGTAATTTTGGGGATGATCTAATCCATTGTGTGAGTTCATAAATGGAGAAACCCCAGGAATATTTAAAATAATCAGCATCTTCCTTATTATATACTTGTAGTCAATTAAGCTGTTCTCACAATGCAAGAAGCTTTTCTTATCTTTAAGGACTATAAAGCTGACAAGGTTACCAGCATAGAAATAGTATTTCAGTAGAGATGATGGATATACATACCACTGATTCCCAACAATCTGCAAGAGCAGAGTGGAAGCTCTCAGAGAAAATAACAGAATCTACAGCTAATAAGCTGTCTTCCTGCAAGATCAAGAAGAGAATTAAGATGGTTCTAATCAAATCATAGACATATATAATATGAAGATGGGAAGACACACAACTTAAACAAAATAAATTCATATGTTCAGTACGCCTGTGATATCTCAAAGTCATATCAGAGATTACAGTCAGAGAAAAGGTGCTTACATCAATACAGTTAAGGATCTCATAGATACAATGCCAACATTTTAGCAACCGAAGCACATTTAATCCAAAACAGGGAGAACAAGCGACAGCAAACTTGGAAAAAGATTACAGTATTCATCCAGTTAATTACTAGCATGCAAAATTCAATTGCCAAATTAGTGCACCAACATTTACTCTCTAGCACGCTTATAATTAGAAGAATGACTTAGGACATAAAAAGAACCAATAAGGGACTAATAAAGGGGATGATGGCCTTTCTATTTAAACCAGAAATTTTTCTGGGAGTCAAGAATCTCATATCTTGCATGCCAGCCATGTGTAGCTAGAACTCATGAACAGTCAACAAGCATAACAATTAGCATGGAGGAGCAGGGTTCAGAGATAAAAGCAATAATCTCATTTTCAGGGGCACCAGGAGAAGAGAGATTGTCAGACCTGTCAGTTTATCTAATATGAAAATGCCTCAATTCCTACAAACTCCTTCCAGACTAATCAGCCTATAAGATAACTATCCTCACTTAGGCTAAAGATAAAATCCAACAGTGACTAAGGACAGAAATATTATATTTCAAGATTTAGCTTGAAACCAAACAAAGAACCAAAGCAGGACCAGATGATCATATATAAAATTTCTAATTCCTCTCTGAGAGTCAAGAAGATTAACATTTCAAAAATATTTAAGTAAACCATCAGAGAAAATTTACCTTAACCCATTCTGGCACCATTGAATCTTGGATGCTGTCACAATATGGAAGATAAGGCTTCACATCCAGTACTGGCTGTCACAATTTTACATAAACTTAAAATGCCACACTTAAAGCCACCTAAAACTTTAACCATCACCTCAGGCCCTCAGCCCTAGCAGAAAATGCGAGGAATGTAGCACTTACTGTTCCATCTACCAAATCAACACCAGAAAGTAAAATCATATGTCCTTGAACAGCCTCGATCTGGAGAATGAAAACAATTGCTACCTAAGTTAGCATGTGCTACTCAGTTCAATTACTTGCCCATAACTTGCAGAATTGAATCATATTAAGGCCTAAGGACATAAAGATTTAACATATCCTTCTCACTCCACCAAGAAATTCATGTTTGTTGTCTTGCTTAATGTTTCTAGAACAATTAGAAATTTCTTGGACCTAGCAGGGGATGCAGAATAGGAAAAAAAAAAATAAAAAAATAGAGACTATGTAATATTTTCCTCGGAGAGGATACAATTCTTCAAATTTCCTTCACAATGTCTTTGACACCTCTTTGGCTAATGACAATTATATTCTTAAAATAGTTTTCACTCAATCCCTGTATGTTTTATTTCCTAACATTTTTGTAAGAAGATATTCTCTTTGAACAATATTCATACATCTACCCTAAATGTTTCTCTTAAACAAAAAGAGCTACATTACAAAGGGAGAATACTTGCCTTAGCAACAGTTAGACCAATTGGACTGGGACGATGGGGGGTTCTTGTTGCATATACTCCTTTTTTGCCTCCTTTTAATCGTGGCACCCTCACCTAATCGTTCATATGACAATTGTTAAATACTGAGAGGGGGGAGGGGGGGGGGGGAGCCATAACTAACGTGGTGCCGGTAATAAATATAGTGCGAACCTTGGCTTTGATCTTCGATCTGGAAGGCTCTAACCATAACTTATCCAAATCAGTATTTAAGTGGAACACATATATAATCCAAATATGAGAATACTCTTCAAGACCTTCCAAAGATGCCGGAGGAACCCTCATTGGGTCAAACATCAAACATGCTCTAGCAAGTGGCACCAGCAAAGGTTGTCTAGGCGTACCATTCCTACATTAATTAGAATTGGTACTTTTATATAAGCTAATGGTAAACGGATTAGAAGAATATCTCACAATATCACTACAGCTTAAAAGATCAATTGAGTTTGCTGATACTTTATCACCAAATCCTATACATAACTCATACTTGCAACTTAATAATTTCTACAGCAGTCATTACAAGGATATAATCAGGCAAGCCTGGTTATATATCCCATATCATTTGCGCTCTTCCAAAATTTAGTCTTTAGCCATAAGCTAGTTGAATATTAACATTTATTTTACACCTATCACCTCCTCAACATTGCATCAAGTTCTGGCCCACAAAATCATTAAGTACCTGGTTGAGAAGCAAGATTGGACCGTACCAATCGGAATCATGGGATAAGATGTTGGATCCATATGATCTGTCTTCTGTTGCAGAAGTGCCTTCCTCAATTCCTAGAGATATATCCAATGAAACATCAGGGACCTCACGAAACAATAAAAACAAAAGAAATCGTCAACATTCTATGCATCAACCATCATACAACAATGTCATATTATAATGCAAATTTCAATGATACAAGCCAACACTTCTAATCATTACACTTCAAAAACATATGCTAAGGATTTCTGAATACCAGAAACATTATCTAAATGAGTCAATGTTCTTCAGCGAGGATTCAACTCAAGAATGAAAAGGGCCATATCATACAAATTGGTTTGCCCTCTTCCATTAGACTATTTACATTACAAGTCCCAATGAATTGAACAAATGTATCATTGGAGTCATCATTGTACATAAAATCAGTTCATTCAGTAGCTTCCTTCTATTGTTTTTCATTCACGAATCGTTTCATTTGTTTTATCCACAAACGAATGAAACAAGAGCAATGGAAACCAAACCCATTCCACAATTTCACTTATAAAACTACTAAAACCACCCAAGAGCAATCAAATGGGTAACTGCACACAGAATTGAACTTCTCAGACCCTATGTCTCAGATCAATATGTGGGATTTAGATTCGGGTTCGAGTTCGGTCTCGTATGCAATCATAACATATAGCATCATTCAAACTTTTCAAACGCATCAATACATTCTAATTGAAATTTATAATCAAAACATCAAAAAGACCAGAAATTTATAATCAAAACATCCGAAAATTCAATGTAAGATAAACCTGTTGAGCCCTAATGCGGCCTTGTCGTTCAGCAGCACATTTATTAACCGAAGATTTAAGAGATGCCTCCAGTTCTTTAACATTTGATTCCATGGCTCTCCATTTTTTTCCCAGTATATAATAAGCTGCTCAAAATATAAAAATAAATACATATAAGAAGACATTAAAGATGCAATCTTGAAAGAGAGTAAGAAAAAGAAGCACCAGTAATGGCTGCAACAGAGAAAGTTAAGGTGAAGGGGGTGGGTAGCCATTGAGATGGTGGTGTAGAGTCGCCCATGAACTAAGAAAGGGGGGTTCAGGGTTTTGCACTTTTGCGCAAAGAGAATAGTTACGTTACAAGTTTAAATCCCGTGCAACGAACGGTTATACCAAAATTTATACTCCGTAGAGATTTACAATAATTTATATGTAGTTCAATAATTATTTACAAATCTATTCCGTTTATAAAAAGTATAATAAGTTTAAATTTTTATAATCTACTAAATTTTTAATATGTAGTTAAAAAAAATTATATTGATTTTGGATCATTACAATTGTTTAAATATAAATGATATGAAATGATATTTATCTTGAATAGATATAATGGTAAAGTAGGAAGGAAAATATTCTAGTAAATTATAAATTTCTTATAAAACACTGAAATTTTTTGGCAGGATTTTTTTAACTTACCTGTGTCATTTTTAATCGTCTTTAATATATAGTTATAGATAGATATTAAAAAAATAACCACATATAATAATAGTTATAATGAACATTTTAATATTATAGAAAGTTTAGTTTAGATTTTATGTAAAGCAAATGTCATTATTTAGATACAATAATTGTTAGTTATAGTAAGAATTTTTCTTAAAGCAAATATTTTTGGCGGGAAAATTTTTTGTATAATGTTGCCAAGTGTCTCTTTAGATTCGCCTTTAGTAATATGTAATTGATTGATATGGCCATATGTGTTATTAGCTCATAGAACTGCCAATTAGAAAGTAACAATTTGATTATGAGAAAATACAAGTTTATATCCGATATTTATCAAGGGGTATATATGTAAATTATAGCTAACTTTAGTTAACTGTTGTTTCCTCTCTCCTCCTTCAACCTTCAATTTCAATGGTGCAAAGTAACGGTACACCTCTTCACTACAACATCGAACAAGCCGAAACCAATGGAGGAAGAAAAGCTTACCTACCTAGTGTTAACCATGTCCTTTATTTTCACTTTGTTATTTGGGTTTTGTTTCCCAAAATGGTGGTACTAAATAGAAATCAATGGTTAAGCTAATTGTTGTGATACAGACTAAGAGGGAAATTCCTGATTCCTAGTTGAAATCAAGAACTTTTTGTAACAACTAATTCTATTTGTTAATAACAAAGTTGTGTAGTACTAAAATGCTGATTATTTGGTATCAAATTAAACCTTACATGGTACCAAATTAAAGTTAACTTGGTACCAAACGACATATTTCATAAAATTATGTTGGTATTAACAAAGCTGTATATTGTTAAAAATAAATAATAAAAATTTATAGGGGTACTAAACGTAAGCTTTCTTGGTACTAAACTTAAACTTACATAGTTACGTGGTATCAAAATAGAGAGAAAAAATGTGCATTTACCAAGTTGCCCCTTGATAAGTTATAATATCATCATAGTTAGAAATTGGGCAGTCCTTATAGACTAGAAGTGTAAATCTATACTTTAGTATTTAAAAACACAAACCAATACAAATCAAGTACCACATATCTTCCTTCCCTCTTTACCCTTTTTCATTCTTTTTCCATGAGTCCAATTAATGTTTTTATTTTTCTTTATGTTTTCATAGGATTTCTTTAGCTTTCCCCTTTATTTCTTAACAACTATTAATATTCTGTAACTTCTAATTTAATTCAACATATTGAATTTTTTAACTTTCTCCTCTTCTCCCTCCATCTTTCAATTGAATTTAATCACATTTGTCATTCAATTATTTGACCTCTTTTCTTCCCTCGATCTATCTGCTAATATAAATACAATTTTTCAATAAAGTTTTTTTCACATCACCTAAGTTCCAAAAAAATATTAGAGAATAAATTTTTTTTATGTAAATTGAGGCTGCAAAGAAGGAAGAATTGATTGGTTTTGACAAGAAAATGAAAAGTTTCATTCAAGAAAATTATGAAAAATTGTGTTCCATAGTATATATGACATTACTTGCATGTCACAGAGCCATTAATTTCAAGATATTAAGCACACTCTAGATAAATAGGAATTTTATAATATAATTATATATTTGATTTGATGTAACAATGTAAAATTATAGCAAGGGTTTGGTATTTAACTTTTTGATAAAAAATATTGGTTAACTATAATGTAATTAGAGAATTTGATTTTATAATTAAGCCTTTTTTTTAAAACAATTACTACTTTGCTAATTATTTGTTGAAAGATAAAATCTTGCTATTATTTTGCTAGGAATTGAAACTTGCAAATATACAACAATTATAAGGGGTCACCGACAATTAGTCAACAAATGAACGCACAAGCTATGTCGACATTCTTTTTCTATAAATTATACTATGCAAATTCGTCCAAATTAATCCATTAGGACTTTAATTTTTCAAACCCAAAAAACAATAGAATACATTTTTTTTTTAGTTGTATCAAAAGTTCTTAAAAACAAAAAAATAAATGTTAATTACAACAATAAACATTAAAACCTAAACAATTTGTGAAATGTTATAAGATGTGAAAAGTCAATGAAATTAAACCTTAAAGTTTTAAGCATAAATAAATAATAACTTATGCAAAGCCCGTGTGTAGAATGAGCCCAAAAGCTAGTTATTATAGACTTAAAGAGTGAGAGATAAGTCAAATGATTAGAGCTCCCCTCCCGATTCCAGGTGATCTTGTGATCGATTATAATTACTCGCCCTTGTGGTTCTCTAAACACCAAAAAAATATTGAGATAGTCAAACATTTTAAATCCACGCTTTTTTTATTTATTACAAAATATATGTCATTAATTACAAAGTACTACTGTATTAAAAATAACCAATTACAATATAAAACGCTAAACAAAAGTACAAAATGCATCTTAATTACAGTAAACTAATTACAAGTAGCACTTCGCAACTGATTAATTAGATTTAATTAAGCAGCTCACGCCAAACCAATTAAAAACTATGCATCAAACAGAAACAAATGAATCAACAATTCAACTCTTAATCCAATTACTCCTTTTTACAATTCAGAAATTGGAGTACACCTGAATTCACAGAATTGAAGGTAAGAGAATGTTATGCTATTTCCAAGATTCATTTTTTGTTATAAACATAATACATCAATTTATTATATCCCGTTCAATAATGTGGGTTAATTAATGTGAATCGCTAAACATCGCCCGCAAATTACCATATAAAGCCCACAAATATGACTTGGTGTGACCATTATGCCCATTTTCTAAAATTGAAATAATCTCGGTTTAAAAAATGTGGAGCCGTACTGGCTCGCCGGGGGAGACCGGAGATGCGGGGGACGCCGGAGGTACGTCGTCGTCGACGGAAAACGAGGTAAGTCACCGTTAAAATTCATGGTTTACCGTCGGAGTGGCTCTGGCGCCTAGGATGGACGCCCAAACCGTAGCCTGGACGTCCAACCCAGACGCCAGAACCACCAGAGTGGCGTCCAGCCTAGACGCCCAGACCACCAGACTGGCGTCCTGGCCAGGCGCCACTCTACTGGCTGAGGCGGCCCTGCCAAGCGCCAGTCCAGTGGTTGTGGCAGCCCTGGCAGACGCCACCCTTATAAATTAATTTTTTTTTTTCTTTTTTGATTTTGCTGTTGTTTTTTATTTATTTATTTTTTTTTTTTGAAAAAAATCGAAAATGATTTTTTAAAAAAATTCGAAATGGGTTTTTTTTAAATTAATTTTGAAAATTCGAAATAGGTTTTTTTAAAATTAAGTTTGAAAATTCGAAATGGTATATTTTTAAATTTAGTTTGAAAATTCGAATTGGGTTTTTATAAAAATTAAGTTTGATTATACATAATTATGCTTTTTTTTGTGTTAATTCTGTGTAAATATAGAAATTAAATGTATTATCCGTTAAATGTATTTATTGTAATATATAATTGATGCGGGATTATGGTGGAGACGGAAATGATTACAGTGGGATATCGACAGCTGAGCGGCTTAAGTCCTGCTGCGAAAGTAGTTGTGAAAGAAATGAGTGATGCTCAAGTCAAGCCTGCTAAAATATTAGCATCTGTGTTAGAGAAATTTTCAGAAGACCATCCAAACCGAAGACACATCTACAACGTCAGACAGCAACTCAGGTTTGAACGGTCAGAGGGAAGGAACCCTATACAGCAGCTGCTACACCAGGCACAATCACGTGGTTACCTGTTCTGGTTTGATTCTGATGAAGATACAACGGAGGTGACTCATCTTTTCCTTGTGCATCCTGATTGTGCTGATATGATCAAGTCTTGGCCATTTGTGATTTTGATCGACTCAACGTACAAGACAAACAAGTACAAGTTCCCACTGGTTGAGATCATGGGGATGACTCCAACGAACCAGAACTTTCTGATTGGTCATGCAATCATCAAGGATGAGACGGCTCCAAGTTATTATTGGGTGTTGGAGAAGCTGAGAAACTACATCGGGCCTAATGTTCATCCAGCAGCCATCGTCAGCGACTGTGAGGGAGGTCTCTTTGCCCCCATAGCAGAGCTGTTTCCAGAATCGAACCACTTATTATGCACATGGCACATCAACAACTGCGTGAAAGTGAAAGCCTACAACCTTTTCAACAAGAATTTGGAAATGGCAGAGAGATTGGTGAATGGTAAGTGGCGGAAGATCCTACAGGCTACCACAAAGGAAGCGTATGAGCGAGCATTGGCTAACTTCAGGGATTCGTACCAGTGGTGTCCGACACTGGTGGACTATGTGATGCAGCAATGGGTCCCTCACAGGGAAAAGTTTGTCAAATATTGGACAAACCAGGTACTTCATTTCGGGAACACTACAACATGTAGAGTTGAGAGCGCTCATAGAGCTACCAAGGACTGGATTGATTCATCGACCACTGCTTTGGATACACTGTTCGATAGACTTAACAAGTCAATTGAAACTCAGAAGAACGGCATCAGGAACTCTCTAGAGGACTCCAGACGACGACATGGTACGATGTATATCCATTTTATATTTAAGATTCTCCATGGTCGTGTGTCGCACTACTGCTTGGGGTTGATTCTCACTGAGCTGAACAGGATGAGGGACTTGGCTGACGAAGTGTATGCTCGGTGTGGGTGTGCTATTTCAGTAACTCATGGATTACCTTGCGCATGCACCATTCACCGCGTTATTACAGAAGAAAGGGCGTCGTTACATGTTGATCAGGTCCATTCATTCTGGTAACTGCGGATTCCGGGTTGTGGTTGATGTTTTTCAAATGGGCGAAGACAACTACGGTTTGGTGCGTCAGTTGATGTACAACGAAATTGCCTCTAACCGAAATGTTTATCGTCATGTGTACCAGGCCGAAAGGCATCCAGTTCACCTGCACATAGTTTTAAAATTTAATAACATGAATATAATATGTGCAAATAATAAAATGTAGAAACAATTTATAAACGTTACCTCTAAGGGGGACAGCCTGTCCAGCAATAACCGTATCGATCGGAGGCGGTCAACGGACTTCTTCTCCGAGCGCGAACTCCACGCACAAGCACGCGGCATCCCCTCATCAATAGGAACCGGGTCACGATGTGGTCGCAATGCAGGAAAGTACTCGTATATCCAGGTCTGCAATAGAGTCAGACACCCAGTGATACCTGCCGCGTCAGCCCGACTCGCAAATCCTAGTTGGCGATACAAATACGCCAACGTAGCCGATCCCCAGGAAAACTGGCCTACACTGTCGGGGTCACACGCCTCTACTATGTCGCGTGGCCTGAGCTTGTTTCCGCCACTCTTATCCGGAAACAAGGTACATCCGAGGAGTAGAAAAACATAAGCACTCAGCTGTGCGTCGTGCGTCCTACGTGCACTGGGGTACAAACACCGCTGCAACACGGATGCGATCTTCACACCTCCGTGTTCCCAAACACCTAGCGCCTCGGTGTACAGTGCAGCCCTGTCCACCGCCAACAACTCCGCCAGCAAATCTGCCTGATCCGCATCAGCCACAGCACAAAGTCGTTTACCCTCAACACGAATCCCCAGAATGGCCTCGACGTCATGTAACATGATCGTCATCTCACCGAACGGAAGGTGGAAAGAGTTTGTATCCGGCTGCCATCGCTCAATGAAAGCCGTGATCAGCGTACTGTCAATCTTATCGTGCATGGTGGCAGGAACGTGATTCACCCCAGTGCCCTCCAGTCGCTCGAACATCTCGCTCTCCGCCGGCCAAGCCTCAGCCCATGTACGCAAAAAGCTACAAGTCTTTTCCCGGGTATGACATTTCAACAACCCCGTAACTGAAGGCCTCTCCTGGTCCTCCCAAATACGGGCAGCTATGTGTCCTAGAAAGCTAGGAATCACACTCCCGTCAACAGGCCCACCGGGCACCTCACTCCTAACAACCCAAGAATCATTACCGGCCCTCGACCGTTTCCTGCTTGCCCCAGATACAGTGGACGCAGATGATGTGCCAGATCTACTAACAAACCTACCACCCCTACCCTTACGCACCTCCACCATATGTGTCTCGTACATGTCATCAACCCTCTGACTGAATGGACCGTAATCATCATACGGTCCACTGCCATCGTCCACATCCTCATCCTCATCTGCGCCCTCCTCCTGCTCCTCCTCCTGGTCACCCTCCTCAGCATCATCATCGTCATCGTCATCCTCATCCCGATGGTGGATCCGTTCTCTACGAGCTGAGGCCGAAATACCACGGGATCTGACATGTCTATGCCCCGACCTTTCCACTGAATAGCTTCTACTAAGAAGCTCTACATTCTTCCCCGCACCATGACGACCCAGTGAATTCTACACAAAATTTTAAAATATATAAACATACAAAAATTTATACGAAAAATAGCTACCACTACCCAAATCAAATAAACTAAAAACATACTAACAAATTAACATAATAAAGAAATTAACAAAACACTTAAATAAAAATAATAGAATAAAAAATACACTTAGAAAGGAAATAAAACCAACACAGAAGAATATATATAAACATAAATAATTCATTCCCAATTAAAATAAATTAACTAACCAAAAACAATATCAATAATAAAATTTAAAATAAATTAACTAACCAAAAACAATATCAAAGTCACAAAAAAAATTTAAAAACAAATCAAAATAGAGAATAAAAATAAAAATGTACAAAAAAAACAAACAAATAATTGTAAACAAAATATAAACATAGAAAAAATACAACAAAATTGAAAAAATTTATAAAAATAAACAACAAAATATAAAAACAATTCAAAAAGATATTACACAAAAAAAAAAATAAAAAAAAATAAAAAAAACAAATATAAAAAAAAAAAAAGAAAAAAGGGGGGGGGGGCGCCTTGGCTGGACGCCCAGCCAGCGGTGGTGGCGCCAGCTGCAGACGCCGCCACCAGTGGGCTGGCGCCTGGGGTGGACGCCACAGCCACGGCTGCGGCGCCTTGAATAAACGCCACAACCGTGGCTATGGCGTCCAGCCCAGCCTGAGTACAGAGTACTAAATTACCCAACCTAAGACTTGCTTGTGGAAAGCATCTTTCATGTAGTTATCTGGCTTTCTGTACTGTGAATAAGAATGTTGAGTACTTTGAATTTAATGGCATCCAGGACTGTAGCTATCAGCAGTGTTATTGTTTATTGTAAGTGTTTTACTTGTTCTCATTGTTTGGTAAATGAACAGTTGGACTGGATGCATGATGCGTTCATTCGATGGAGGTTATACTTGGACAAATAGAGAACAACTTCCTCCGGGTGTATTAGGACCAATAAAAAATAAGGTTCAGATTGCCCTTATATTTTTCTCCTTTTCTATATTGAAATCATCTGTTTGCCATGGCATAATTTGTGTAATACATTCATACTCAAGTTTTTTTTTTTTTTTTTTTTTTTTTTTTTTTGGGCCTCTGTTCAGCCTATCATGTTGGATGATGGGCAGATGATCTGTGGGTCTTCTGTAGAAAGCTGGAATTCTTGGGGGGCTTGGGTGGAGGTAAGACATTCTAAGACCAGATACAAATTTGATCATCATTGCTTTGGTTTGCTTTTATTTTGATTCTTTTTTCTCTTTTCTAAGGTAACATCTGATTTAGGAAAAACTTGGAGAAAAAATGGACCAATCTTCATCCCTGGTGAAGGTCTGAGTGTAATTCAACCTGTACCTTACCAGACAGCAAATGGGAGTTTAAGGGTTCTCTTAAGATCTGCTATCGGTAGAGTTTGTATGTCGGAATCCTTAGACGGTGGTCATACCTGGAGCAATGCACAGCCAACTGTACTTCCAAATCCTAATTCAGGTTCTTGTCAGAAAGCATTTTTAAGTAGTGATTTTTGAAATATCTTTTAGCTGTAATTTATTTGGACAGTGTGAATTAATGTCTTCATTTTAATTGAATGAACCCCTCTGAAGTTCTGAGTGACAAAGCTATACCTGCAACTGCTCAACCCTTGATAAAAAATATATACGCAGTAACAAAATAACACCTTGCATTTTGTAGTAGAGATATTAAGTTTGGTTGAACTTATTGAACTATAAATATACATCTTAACTCATTTTCCATCTATATTTGCACTTGTAACTTTATTTTGGCCAGATAACAAAAAATACTCTTTTGTTAAGAATTCTTGGGTTTCCAGGTAGTTTGACTGCCTTTGTGCTGACCTAAACCAAATATTTTTATCTATTAGGAATTGACGGGGTGAAATTGAAGGATGGTCGTCTTGTGCTTGCTTACAACATTGAAACGCGGGGATTGCTCAAGGTTGCTGTGTCGTGTGATGATGGTGACTCATGGATTGATGTTTTGACACTTGAGGATACTTCAGGCATGGAATTCTCTTATCCAGCTGTCATCCAGTCAAGTGATGGATCGGTGCACATCACCTACACTTACAAAAGGGCACAAATTAAGGTGCTTTCAACTTTCTTCCCACCCCCGTCACAATCTTTATATGGATTTCTTCCTAATTAACCATTATGCTCAATATCTGATCAAAACTGTCTAGATTTTGTGAATCATCACCTTTCAACTATAACATTTTGTTCATGACTTCCTCATTCAAATATCTGATCTTTCCTGGTAGAAGTTTTGCATTCATTCTTGTTTTTCAGAAGCCGGACTAAATTATTATTCCTAGGAAGAAACTGGAGTAAAATTGTGAAAATGTGTACGCATTGTACTGTAGATAGTGTGAATTGTGAAGTCTCTTAATTGGGCATTTAGCTTAACCCTTGTCTTGTTTTTGGTCCAGCATGTTGTACTTCAACTCAATTGACGCGGTGAACCTTAAATTCTGTGGCAAGCCTGCTGAGGTATTAAGCATAAATAGTGTTTGCTTGATGGATCTGATATTTTTGCTTCTCAGGTCCTTATGTTTTTAACTGCAGCTTGTGTTTTTTTTTTTTCCTCTGGCATTTCATATCCAAATGTGTAATTTGTTGAGATCAAGTGAAATCTTTTTCTGTTAAGAAACTATTCTTTTTCTTGACAGTTGAAGCTCAATGCGTGCTTGTAGACTTGTCCCTCTACTCAGACTGCTGGATTGTTGCTGATTTTAAGCTGTGTTGCATTGACACACAAATGGACATAGATACTTGCAGGAATGCAATAATAATGTGTAATAAACTAACTATTCAGAAATAAATTAAACTGGTTGCATATTATGCTTCTATACATCCTACATCGGCTATGTGTATTGGTTGTTTGAATATGATACTTGTGACATTAATGTGTGGTTTAAGGTCTTTATGATTTGTTTAACTGTCTAAGCTGTAGCAGCAGTGTAGCGCTCTAGTGTGTATCACACCAATGGATTGTCACTCTCTAAACGAGTAGACATGTCTGTACCCTAGGTTTAAGCTAAGTTTGAGTGCGATTATTATCGCTGTATCAAGGTTTTGTTAAGGCCTTAAGGGCCTCTCAGTATCTGCAGCCAATTAAGTACTCAATTCCCCGATTCTTCGAGGATGTTGGAGTGGTCTGAGGCAAACAATACCTATGCACATAAGATTGTCTGAAAATAATGCTCGAGGTTGACATCTGAAATTTGAAGTAATAAACGAAATAACAGAATTATACTTTGTATAGGGATAATTTGGTCTTTTTGTTAGCCCGAATGAGCTTCAAGGGCACAAATTACTAGGGGTGAGAGATTTGAACTTATTATGCACTTCGTATGACATTTTCATATACAAGCCCTCTATTTTACAGAGTAACTATTAGACTAAAATCTCATTGGTATATTTTGATCCTTTAATAACAGTGTTAAGTAGCTAACTATTAGATATAGAAAAAATTAACATACAATATATAATCCCAACTTTGTTTGTCCTTCTCATTTTAATCCATTCTTTTATATAACTCAGTTTAATCCCAAGTATTTATGTCACATTCTCAAATTAGTATAGGGACCACCTAACCATTGTGAGCATCTAATGGAAATGATTACGAACCCATCACGTGGCATCACTTCTTCCATTGTTTTTGTTTTAAAAGAAAGAACTGTAGTGGGTAGAGTAAGAACTAAGAAATTCATCTCTTTATCTAACGAATTCATGGCTTCCGAGGGAAAATTTGAAGGTGAAATATTATCACAAATGTTGATGCTAGATTGAAGGTTGTCGACAATGGTGGAGCGTATACGGGAAAGAGGTTTTACGCAATTAGAAAGTTCCCAGTAAGTGTTATTGTTAAAGTATCCAGTATATTGCTGTCATTTTAGTTAAACCGCATTTTTGTTGGTTGTAATGTTACACAGTTTATGATTTAGAATATGACAAGTGGTTAGAGCTTTCCTACCGGTTTTAGGGGATTATGGGATCGATTCTCATCATCTGCTTTTATAACTCTCTAAGCACCAAAAAAAATATACTTTGTTAAACAAAAGTACGGATAAAAATGAGAAGGACAAACAAAGTTGGGATTATTTATGTTAATTTTTCCTTACATGTATAACACAACTCTTAACATTTTAAGAGAAGTACCCGACCCATAAAAAACAATAACCCAATGGCTAATATTCGGGTTTACTCCGTATAAGGATCAAACATCCTCTTCTTGTAGCAATGCCACCACCCAACGAAGTCCTACCACAAATTTCTAACTGTATAAATCAACTACAAATAGATAGAAATTAAAATTTGAAAGTCAAACAAAGTAAAGCCTGAGAATTTGGAATTTCAAAGTTTATTGATGGTTCTTCAAGTTTAGATACCATACTCAATACCTTTTGCTAGAAAAAAGTTAAAAGATTCAATATTGTGATGAAATTGCTGCAATTTGTGCCCACTAGATTACTATAATTAATTAGATAATCTGCAATTGTTTTTTGATTACAAATTGTTACCAAAAAAATAAATAAAACTAAGAGATGGAGGCTTTTTATAAAGAAATTTGGCCTGACTAATCACTAAGTCAATGATAATAATGTTTGCCATGTTTACACATTTAATACACTCCATTTGTCAAATAAATGAAGAACTTTTAGATCAAGTCAGAAGAGCAGCTTGTCTTAGCTTCTTTATCATTTGCACCTAGATTACTGCATTATTAAGGTAATGAACTAATGGCTGTTTGAGTGTGTGTCAATTCGAGTCGTTTTGATGATTGTATCGATCATTCATATGAACTTACATACAGTATGCAGTTCATTTTCTAATATAATGCAGTTCATTTTCTAATATAATTCAGCCGTTGCAGTCTTGCAGATATTTCGTTTGAACTTACATACAGTATGCAGTTCGTTAGGCTTTGGGATGGTAAAAAGTGTTGCATCTTCACCGTCGTATTACTTATATTTTTCTTTCTTTTGGTTGAGGGATGCAAAACAGAATCTACCATATTAAAGGTGGTGCAAGAGGAGTTCACATTTGATGAAGTTTCGCGCTCTTTCAACATGTGCCATGCTTCTACAATCGTCGAGGTAATTGTGAAAAATCATTGTGTGTAACTTGCTCATTCTTCATCTCTGCAAGATCTATATGTGTTTATTAGCTTTTGTAGGTTGAAAAGGGCCATTTTTTGGTTGCTTATTTTGGAGGCTCCGGTGAGGGTGCACCTGATGTTAAAATTTATACACAAAGATATAAGGTAAGTGAGTGTAATAATACAGTCCAATGAATTTACTTAATTCATTTTGAACTAGGTTACATATTGTAGTTACATAAAGTGAGACATAGGTGCGTGTTATTGTGCAGGATGGTTCATGGAGCTCTCCTATTGCTATCGAACAAGAACCTGAAGCTTCAGTCTGGAGTCCTGTGTTGGTTAAAGCACATGATGAGTTGCTCCTGTTTTTTAGAGTTGGTCCAACCTTTCAAACGTTCGTAATTTATTCTGTTCTGTTCTGTTGTACATTCTGAAAATTTGCGCGATACTCCATCTTTGCACCCCCTCCCTCCCTAGGAGATCGAAAGACAATTAAAATGAACTCAGACATACCAATCATCAATAAGCTTAACTAATTTTATTTCAACTAATAATAAACAATCAGAATTTGTGCAACTTTGTGAATAATACAAAGTTTAGTTATGTCCAACTTTGTGAATATTAGTAATAAGAGTTTGTGCTTGTGCAGTTGGACCGGAGCTATGAGGCGTTCAATTGATGGAGGAGTCAGTTGGTCATCGCGAGAACAGCTCCCTGCTGGTATAATCGGACCTGTCAAAGTTAAGGTTAGGATCATAAACTATTAATTCATCTTCCTAGTTTCATTAATGTTGTAATTATGTAATTTTAATTTGCAATGCAAGATTCTTAATGTACATGTACTTTTCTTTCTTCATATACATATTCAGCCTCTTTTAATGGAAAATGGAGAATTGATATGTGGATCCTCTGTGCAAACATGGAATGCTTGGGCATCTTGGGTGGAGGTAATTACGCTTATGGATCAAATATTGTTTACTTCGTGAAATTTTTGGGATGGTATCCTAAAGACGTGGGATCGAATTTTGTTTATAATCATAACTTTGTGACTTTCTTATATACACTAGTGAACTTACATTATAGTTTGTGTTTGAGACGAGTCTTTTTTATTGAATATATTTTATGGCTTTGATCCGCACTTTTAGGTGACCCCGGATTTGGGAAGAACATGGAAGAAGTATGGTCCCATAGTGGTTCCAAATCATAATATGAGTGTGCTTCAACCAGTACCTTATCTCACAAAGAAGGGACATATACGTGTTCTTATGAAATCTCACTCAAGCATTGGTAGAGTTTGCCTAGCTGAATCTCGAGATGGCGGTCGTACTTGGAGCGATGCAGTGCCTACTCAACTCCCAGATCCTAATTCAGGTACCAGTACACTGGCTAAAGACTATACTATTAGTACTCTTTTTTTTGACAAACTATTAGTGGACTTAGCTAAATTGATTCATATTTATTTTTGAGATCGAAGTTTGACTCTTAGTCTTTTAATAAGTGGTACAGTTTGTCTAACGTGTGTCTATAGGCACATGCTAAGCTCCGCGGAACGCCATATAAAAATTCTGTTCGGCAATTTTGCTGCCAAATTACAAAAAATGGCCTATAATTATACCTTGGGATAGTTTCTTACTGACTTGATTGACTTCCATGATCAGCAATCGACGCAATCAAGTTATGTGATGGGCGTCTAGTGATCATTTATAACACAACTTCGAGGGGAATTCTCAAGGTTGCCATCTCCTACGATGATGGTGATTCATGGCTTGAAGTTTTGACACTTGAAGACACTCAAGGAATGGAATTCTCTTACCCAGCCATTATTCAAGCCAACGATGGATTAATTCACATTACTTACACATACAAGAGGACACAAATTAAGGTAATTTTTGCTATTTCTATTGATAAAAGGTAAGTTGATTTTTCTTGTTCATTTTGAAAGTCTATGCATCGATTTTTCCCAGTTAACTTAGTGGTAAATGTCATGAAATTGTATTGTAAACGACAGTTACTGAGCAAGTTAGTTGGCTACACTTGACTTTACATATCTACCCCCCAAGTTCCCCACGAAATGACACTACCACCCCTATATTAACAAATCTTGTTATTATAGGATTTAAATTGTATTTTCTCTTTATCATAACCTCTTTTTTTTCCTTGCAGCATGTTGTTCTCCAGCCTTGAGGGCCCTCGACACTTGTACTTTGATGAGGATATAAGGCATAACCGCATAAGTTATGCACAAAATATTCGTTACATTCTTGTTTAGTTTTTGAGTTTGCCCCACCCGGTTTACCAGAGCTTAGTTTCGACTATATTCCGATCCGACCCAGGTTGGACACCTTGACTTATGATGGGTGAGTCTCCTAACAAGAGTTTTTTGCATTCGGTGAAGCTTGAACTCGAAACCTCCCTTAAACGGCATCAAGCTGCTTACCACTTGAGCCAACTTGTTTAGTTATGTAACAATTATATGTAAAGATTTAGGTATTTGATGATCAGGTATAGCTTTTCTCTACCTTGAAAAAAGTACGAGAAAATACTTTTAAATAGTGTGAGAACAATTATATCCTTAAAATGTTTGTTTATCTACATATCCTCAAAACGTTTGTTTATCTATATGCCTCTATTATTATGACAACTGCATATGAGATTTCCCTTGTGTGATCAAGTAATTTAACTCTTATAAATATTTTTGGACAATTATATCCTTTAATATATTTATTTACTTATTTTCCTCATTAATGTTAATTACTTCTTTTTTTTTAACTCTTAAAAATTATATGTATGCGAACATTTATACCCCCAAAATATTTATTTACATATTTTCTCTTAATAAATTTTGCCAACAATAATTGAAAGGTCTATATATACTAGCTATATATGACACGCACATCATGCGTGTTAGCTACCGTATTATGCAAAAATGTGATTTTAATTATGGAACTCACATGATATTTAATTTTTGATGATCAATAATCAATAATTAATAATAATTGGTACCATGTCAAGATCTAAATAAGGTGAGTACATATATGTATGTACATTCATGCCCACATGGCCAAATGACTTATTTAATGTCTAGTCAATATTTTGATATGGACTACTCCTTCGCTTCTTTGAGTTCTGAAAATTTTGTTTACTTTTGACAATTACTTTCTCTAGTTGACACTTTTCTATTATCATGCTTATCAATGCATGTTTTTAACAATTAATATTTCTAATTATCATATCTGGAGAAAATAAGATCTCGTATGACTATATTTATCATACCTATAAATCACAAAAGCAAGTCAAAGTGTAATTTATAAATAGTGTAAAAGTGAAACTGTGTCAACTAAAAAAACGAAGAAGTATGTAAAACGATGTTGGAGGTTAGTAATTAATTTGGTGGAGTATTTCAATAATCACCTTGGAGGTTTAAATTAGGATCAATTATTTTTTTCCATCACCACTTATATCTATCATTGTTTAATTTTTTTGATAATAAAATCAATACATTAATTAGAAATCACATGGACTACAAAAGAAACTTCAAAGAAGATCTTGCACATATCAATGAAATTTACAGTCTATCTGGAGAGGCTTCATAATGATAAATTTAGTTGTGAGGATTATTTCCATCGATAGTATTTGAATCATTGATATTATGATCCTACACACATCCTCCATTTCTAAATACATGCAAGATGCAATAACTCTACACACATCCTCCATTGTCAGCATGCTAAATTTGAAATCAAATTTTACTCGTGATAATTTTCATATTCCAATTTTTCATATCAATCACAAACTCCACTTTAACCAACGTATATGATTTATACCTATAAATTAATATAATTATGTGGAATCTTGATATATTGATGGGCGAAATTAAACATCAATTAATAAAAAAGTCAAATTATTACATGTATTTTGAAGTTGACTACTCTGTATAAGAAAATCTTAGTTGAAGTTGGAGTTGAGTAGACGACATGATGACTTGTAATTTTGAACCACTTGATTCCATATTTTATACTAGTACATGTACATGCATGCCCAATATATAGCGAAATGCCCAAACGACCAAACTCCATATCAAACATAGTAGTAGTCGCTACTCGCTAGTCTCTAACTATATAAGAGTAACAAAATTTTTAGCTTTGCTACTTATCAAATCACATTCATCTTAAGTTTTAAGAAGAGCTACAACATGGTGACCATTGTAAAAGAGGAGTTCACATTTTCTGAAGAATCTCGACCATTCAACAACTGCCACGTTTCTACCATTGTCGAGGTGATTATTAAATACGGAGTACCGAATTATGCATATAGTTTTGTGCTTTAGAATTTATATATTTCAATTATTGTTAGAGATATGAGATGTCAATTATTCCGGTGATCACAAATTTTTATGTGGCTGTCCACACCGTGTGGCTCGAGTTATTTGTTCAAAGGTTACTTATTATAGGGTTGTTTATTCAGGGGTTACTCGGTCGGTTAGGGGTTACTCTCACACAGAAAGCGCGATAACCGAGTGAGTAACCCCAGAATAAGTAAACCTTGATTTTTTAAGTAACCCCTAAATAAGTAACCCATGAATAAGTAACCCAGTCACACTGTGGCCATCCACACAAAAAAAAGTACTATCTTGCGATATACTTCGTATAATCAAGGAAAGTAGTATTTATACTAATTTAAAGTAAGTTCATTTTAATTTATGGGTCATATAATTCATACTTGTATTTGTTAACGTTTATCAGGATTGAGTTATATATAGTGACGTACTAGTGGTTTTGGTTTTTCCAATGCACGATGCAGTAGAATTGAGGTTGTAGCTCTAGGAAGAACATAATACATACAACTGTTATATGTCGGACTTAGCTTGTTCTCTTTAGATTTGTTTCAATGCATACGGATTATTAAAAATTATGCATTGTTTTATATGTGATGGTACAAACGTACAATTAGATCGAGAACAACATAGAGTAGTTTAGTAATCCAAATGTTTACATACCACGGGAGTATAATTTTTGAAGATATATAGTGGAAATAAAAATTTACGAGTGAAATATTATATTAGCGTTGTTTTGTGTGTAGATCAACAAAGATGAATTTCTGGTTACTTATTGGGGCGGCTCAAAGGAAGGAGCTTCGGATGTCAAGATTTATACACAACGACATGTTGTAAGTAAATTAATACTATCGTCAATTAATTCTTAGGGGCTAAGCACAATTGTGGGATATAAATATTCAAAAGCACATACATAAATTGGATTTTTTTAAACAAATTGATAAACATGGCCTGACAAGTAAGGACAATCTCTCATGTTAAAAGACCCGGACCGGCAATCAACAAGCCCCTCAATCCCTCATAATCATATATCCTATGGCCTTTATTTACTCCCTGTCGCCCTTTAGTTAGAATCAAACCTTACACCTTAGGGTTGTGAATTTCAATTGAGATATTTACGTTAATTTGAATATCAAATCAATGTTTATATATTTTGTGTTTGGCCATCTATCTTCGGTAGAGCTTAAAGGTAGAAATTATCGGTGATTCATATAATAATTGAAACACTTAATGTTTGACACAAATTTTAAAAAAAGTGAAAAAGAAAAGGTTATTCAAATGCTTAACTGTGTGCATTAAAAAAAGAATGAAAAGAAAATATGCAGTTGAACTCTGTTCTTAGGCGCCAACCTCCCACCTACCCTCAAAAGAAAAACAAAAAAAAAAAAAAAAAAAAAGGTGGCATTTGGAAGTTGTTTGTTGCATGTAACATTCAGTAATCCTAGTTTCTTTTTTTCATTGCATGAACAAATAACTAATCAAGACCATAATCCATGCAATGTGATTATGTACCTATCTTGTTTCCTTTAAATTGCAATGTGGAGATGCACAAAAACAAAAAAAAAAAAAAAAAAAAAAAAAAAGTGACTCATGTAATGAAAAATTGAAAAGAGAGATGGAAGAAACATTAGCTAAATAAAAAATATCTTAAAGAAGAACAGGAGAAATACATTGTATAAGGTAATTAAGGAAAATTTGACAATTTGCGAGTAATATAGCTTTATACTTCGTAATTTTTTCCTAATTAATTTACAAAATTCAGTTTTTGTATTATTAGTGATATTAAAAAACAATTCATAAATTAATCATGAAATAAATTTTAAAAATAAGAAAATAAATTTATAATTAATTTTGACACCAAAAATAAATCAAAAATTAGCCAATAAAAAATTAGTACTTCGTATAATGGTAGTCATTTTAAGGATGAATACCATAGAATTTTCATGTATATTTATTTTGATAAGCTTAAACTTCTTTAAGCAGCATGGTTCATGGAGCTCTCCTGTTGTGGTTGATGAAGAACCTAGTGCTACTGTATGGAGTCCTGTACTACATAAAGCACATAATCAGTTGCTTCTATTTTTCAGAGTTGGACCATCCTTTCAAACGTTAGTTTCTTCTCTTTTGATTTCCTAATTTTAGTACATAATCATATCTTGTACAAAGTATTTTCTTGCAATTACTAATATTTTGTATCACTCTTAATTGAAAGAGTTATGCTTGCAAATTTCGATCCCAAATCTTAAGTATTGCCTCAAATAATACTTACTGATCAGAATTGACAATCTAAGCTTACTCTTCACCATTTGGTGATTGTTTTTTTCAGTTGGACCGGATGTATGAGGCGTTCATTCGATGAAGGTCTAACTTGGTTAGAGCGAGAACTACTTCCTGCTGGCATTATAGGACCTGTCAAAGATAAGGTTTGTACTCGTATGGTCGTATCATATCAACGTAATGTTCTTATATAGGGTATGTAAGACTCTAAGAAATGTCCTAAGATCTTTTGCCCCGTGTTATACGTTACATAGTCCGCATTTCTGTCAACCTTTATTGATTCATGCTACTCTGTTAGCTTGTTAGCTAACTATTTACAAGTTTATATTATCTGCAATAACTAGTTTTGCCGAAGAACATTATTGATCTCTAATTCTCTATGATGTAACTTATCATACTGACATGGATTCGATTTTTGACATTTTCCCTACATTAGCCTCTTTTACTGAAAAATGGAGACTTGTTATGTGGCTCTTCTATGCAAAGTTGGCATGCTTGGGCATCTTGGATGGAGGTAATTACGACGAAACAAATAGCCATATGTGTCACAGATTTATCTCAGTTTCAAGTACTTCATAAAATGTTTTTGCCTCGTAATGTTCAGGTGACTCCAGATTTAGGTAAAACATGGAGAAAATATGGTCCTATAACGGTACCAAATCACTCTATGAGTGTGCTTCAACCAGTACCCTACTACACGAAAACAGGCCTTTTACGCGCTCTAATGAAATCCCATGAGGATATTGGTAGAGTTTGCATGTCTGAGTCGCGAGATGGTGGATGTACTTGGAGTGATGCTATGCCCACTCAACTCCTGAATCCTGATTCAGGTTGCTACATAAACAAAAAATAGGTTTTGTTCTGTTTTTAACTAGTTACCTAGTGTACATTAATTTTTGTCTAACTTTGAGCAAGTGAGTTTATATGTTAGGGATTGATGCTGTGAAGTTGTTTGATGACCGTCTTGTGTTAGTCTACAACACTACTTCTAGGGGAATTTTGAAGGTTGGAGTCTCTCGCGATGATGGTGATTCATGGACAGAAGTTTTGACACTCGAAAACACTCAAGGAATGGAATTCTCTTACCCTGCTATCATTCAGGCTAGTAATGGATTGATTCACATCACTTACACTTATAACAGGACACAAATCAAGGTACATATACAAATATCCATGAATTATCTCTAGTTATTTTCCTAGCTTCTTTTAATGAGGAATACAACGAACTTTACTTACTTAAATTTCATTCTTCTTAATCCGAAATAATCAAAGAATTGAACATGCAAAATTGGTTCATTCTTCTTTGCATTTATATTACCTCGACATTAGTCTATATGATTTTGCCCTTTGTATTTTATCCAGCATGTTGTACTTCAACCCTCAGTCTCAACTCTCTCAAGTTGATGCAAAGAGCGGTCATAGGATTACTACAGGAAGGGCAAAAAGGGTGCTACTCCGTAATATGAACAAGAATATTATTTGATATTCCCTCCGTGGCATAAATAAATTATCACACATTTTTCATTATCTCATTATTTCAATTAATACGTTGTATTTTTAGTATTCAAAAGTATCAAAAGAAATACTAAACTCCACAAGCTAAGATTAAGGTCATTTTCTTTTCGCCTTACAAATATTAGTATTACATTATTTGATTAAAATTCAGTGCAAGTGTTTTTATAAATTTGATTAAGAAGAATAATAACTAATAAACTCAAATAAATTTAGCTAACAAGACTTGTCCAAATAAATTTTAGTACAACTAGGCCTGTTCAAGGATCAGATATCCGATTCGAAATCACATTTTGGATCAGATATCCGAATACTTGGATATCAGAAACTGATATCCAAATCCGATCCGAAAATTTCGGATATTCGATATTCCGATATCCAAATTTTTCGGATCGGATGCTTAGGATATCCATTATCCAATATTAAGTAAAATTGATTATGATTACTTTTCAAATTTCACTAATTTTACCGTTTTTTTATCACTTAGTTGTACAACATATTAGAACAAAATAGTAGTCTTTTTGCAATAAAAATTATCATTAAATATATTCAGAATATTAAAATAAGTTAATAATACAGGGTTAGTTTTATATGAACAATTTGAATTTTTATATATATTTCACTATTTCAGCCTTTATATTTCGGATATCGGATGAAAACTCGAATCGAATATCCAAAAATTCGAATCAACTACGGATCGAATTATCAGATTTTCGGATTCTTGAATAATTTTGTACATGCCTAAGTACAACTATTAAGGCCATTTTTGGGCTATGGTATAAAATATAAATCATGGGTAGTGTGTGAATTTGTACTTTGACGGGCTAAGTGGCCCAGTACTGTAAGCATGAATATTATGTTTTTTATTTCGTTTTTTCATTGGGCTTCACTTATGATTTTCATTTTGAGTTCTGTATTTTAAGAGTTTTTCTTCTCCTTTCTATTCTTTTTTTAGGGGTAATTTGGGTATGGTTTTTGATAGAAAATAAGTAAAAATTCCTTCCATATTTCCACCATTTTCTAAAAATTTGTAACAAATGGGATATTTATACTCCTGTTATGCGATTCAAAAAAAATAATAATAAATAAAAAAAAAATCCTTCCGTTACTTTTTAATTCATAGGTTTTGATCATTTTTCTCTAGAAAAAGGAATTCAAGTGTGATTAAAAAGTGACGGGTGAACTATTTGTTAATACACAACTTTGGTTATTAACATATTGTATGATCAATTGGCACCTTATTTTATCTTCAATTCTCCTTTTTTTTTCTTTCTTTTTTTTTTTTTTTTTTTTTTTTTTTGCGTTTAAGAAAAAATACTCCTATTTTCTTGATTAATTAATAATAGCTTTGATCAATGTAATATATTTTGATTAGTTAATACGAAGTGCACCTTTTATCTTAATATATTAAAGTCAACTAAACTACCTAAAACCATGTGTCGATTATAGTGTAGCACTTTTAAAAATAAAATTAAATAAAAAAAAAGGAATAAATAAGATATATGACTGGTAAATTGGGACAATCATTAAAAAAAATGTAAAAACGCATAAATGATATGAATTTCTTTTTACAAGCTAAGTTCAAACACTATCTAAACTTTATCTCTTTTTTTCCAATTGATATTTATTATTTTTATTTAAGATTAAATTTAAGAAGTATGGTAGTCTTAGAAACCAAAAATAAGAGAGAGATGCTTTGAATACTTTGAAAATTAGGTTAGTTTCTCTACAATACAATAATGCATGACTTTTAAAAGGGTTGATGATGCTGGTTAAGTATTGGCGCATAGCTGCTATTTACATGGCAAGTAAATAGCATGAATAAGACAAAAGAGTTGTGAAAAATGTTTTTCTAGTGGTACTAATAAGTATATAAATTGTCATCAAATATTGTACTACTGTTACCTATAATGGCTATAAATAGTACTAATAAAACAATCTATACTCTAGTAGTATAAAATATATGTATAATAGTACATTAAATATACCACTGTAATGATAAAAAAAATAATATAAATTTACCAATTAGCCCTCCCATATATACATCCCAAATAAATAATAGTTATACGCCTAGTTGCACTCCATGTTTCTTCATTATAAATAAGTTGTGGGAGTGATTAGAGGCTTTTGCAAAAAGTCATTCTTAATAAAAACTTTATAGAATAGGACATTCAACATTATAAAAATTTAGTCCACATAACATTTTTTTTTTCCAAAACACATAACATTATTTCTACTACCTCCGCTTTTTTTAATTTTTTTAATTTTTTATTTTATTATTATTATTATTATATTATTATTATTATTATTTGCAACGATTAGTCATATTCTATTCATATTTTATGTCAAATCGTTGCAGATAATAAAAACGGAGGTAGTATTTCCTTACAAAAAATTAAGATTATTTCTATCCGGGCGTTTTGTGTGTGGTTGGTCACATCATGTGACCGCTTGTAAAAGAACAAACTAACCCATGTAACACTAATCGAGTAACCCCTATAACATTGATCGACCTATAACATTGAAAGATTAACTCCTGTAAATTTGTAACACTGACGAAATAACCTTTGTAACACTGATCGAGTAACCAACACTAACAAAATAACCCCTTGATGGCTTGGCTGGCCACACGGTGTATTTCTATTTTTTATTTTTATTTTTTAATTTTAAGAATGAATTAAAAAGAATGTGCGCTACTTTTGCAAGTTGGTAGTGAAAAATGGGCACACAAGGACCAACTTTTAGCATTAAATGAGAAGTAGTGAGTCTGCAAAATGGTGCTGTAATGGTTTTTTGTTTGGTGATGACATTCATTTCAAAAGGTAACAAGGACAAGTAACAGGTCAATAAACCCTTCTTTATTCTGCCATAAAGTTGTTACAGATACACAAATATGGGTGTTTTTTGTTTTTGTTTTCCAACTTAAAGCTTTCTTTTGGGTGTACTTCTACTTCCCTTCTTTCAATAACTTTTTATATTTAAAGAAATTTTTACTTTTTAACTAATATTCCCGGTTTTGCTTTACGATATTGATAGCCCTAGGATTTAAGTTCTTGATTAACAATTGGTTGTTGTTGGTTATCGATTGTATGTATAAGTCGTTGGTTGTTGGATGTTTTACATTTTAAAATAATGATTACAGTTTTTTATTTTAATTATTTCAGTTAATATTACATTTGACTCTATTTGATTATGTGTGTTGTTTTATAAAATAAAAAAATTTAGGCCGATATATATGAGAGTCAACCAGGTCGACATGAGAATGGTCTAGCTTGGCCCAATATGAGCCTAGCAGCCTACCAAAAATCTAGTACAGTATGAGAGGCATGTCATTAGGCCATGAATGGTGCATAACTATCATTTTTAAAAGTTGGCATGATCACAACGGGGCAGCTTACATGTTGGCCTGCTTTTTTAAAGTACTAATTTACCAAATATATAAATTCAAAGTATTACTAAACGGTCAGGCACCACACTAGCACGACCCAACCTAACAAAGTATATATGATCGGTTCATATATGGACTAATTTTTAATGATTGACGTAGTTCTAACACTCCATATAACACGTAATACGGAGTACTACTATTTCTTTTAGCCAATTTTAAACATGACCCACTTAAACACGAGTCACGCAGGCACAGGCTTAGCCCGCCCTCACCTCAGCCGAGACTAGGGAGTAATACGGTTAATGCAAGTAAATTTAATTTAGAAATAATGGGCAAATTTTGTTTTTTGTTTTGATGTTTTTATGATGTGAAAGTTTGTGGATGAGACAGGCTTTTTGGTAAGCCTATGGCACAAATATCAAAGCAAAGTTTTAATTAATTTTGTCATTTAAAGCAAAGTTTAAAAAGTGAGTGAGTAGTATCTTTCTCTTTCTGTGTCTAAATCGGAGGGTAGATTTTCATTCTTACCTTTGCATGGGCATGTTGTTGTTGGCATGCTTAATGTTTTTTGGTTGAGTATATAAAACTTTCAGTAGGAATCTCTGAAGCCAGAGCAGCTTTTTCTGTTTAGGTTTTTGTGCACTCACTTCCATCCATTTGTAATTTGTTGCATTTCTCTTCTTTTGTGCTCCACTATTTTCCTTTGCGTTTTTCCTTTTATGAAAAAAATTGGTACAGTAGTGTATCTTAATCAAGGATCAACTTAAAGTTCTTGTTCTCGTCAAATAATTTTGATTATGTATGCACCTCTCAAGCTCGATGTAGTTTTCTCTAGGTTTTTTCAACTTGTTTGTGGAGTTTGATCAAGATCAACTTCAATGAACGCTTGTTTGTGCTCTAATATATACTTGTATACAAGTATAGCCATCCAATAATGTACTCGTATTAATAATTTGAATTTTTTTCTTAAAAAAGGTATACTATATATTCTTAACCAAAAACACACATCATCTTAACATTAAAGGAGCTCATTAATGCCCACTATTGGTTAAAGGCTTAGAGTGAGTCATTTTAATTTCTTTGACAATCATCAATTCACTAAATGGTTTCCATCTCTACCATTTGTTAGGTCAATTAATCGATCAATACTTAGTACTATAACAATTAATATCCACCTTGGCATGTGGATATTAAGAAGAAATTAACCATCCTAGCTAACACAATTTAAAATTAATACATTGGAATCTTTACCATAAAATTGGAGAATATTCATCCACTAATAGTAGTAGTTGACTTTAACTAGTTTTAGGTGTCAGATTTATCACATGCTAATTCATAACACAAATCCTATACGAGATTTTGAAAATATAGGGCATATAATTATTGGACTAATTTTGCTTAGTAATATTTTACTACGCATGTATAACTGTTTGGCCTAGCTAGCTTCCTACTCTAAAATTGGCATCCTTTTTATTGCTATAGATATTTAATAAAAGCATAGTCGTATGAGTTATGTATAAGAGGTAGAAGAAGAAATATAGAGCTAAACTACTAAATATATTTATGATAGATTCTCAACAAAATATATATGGGGAAATACGAATTATATCAATTGTACTTTTTACAAAGTATATTCTTTTTCTATATTGATTACCTCGTATTTAGACACTTTTTATCATTCGTTTGAACCTTAGACCTTTAATCCTCTTTTAATTTTAATGGGAGAAATTACTGGAGGGCTAGTTGGGCTAGAAGTGTGGATGCAGCAGCATGGGTCCTCCTCATACCCAGCGTTTAATATTCCACTTGAAAGTAGGGGGTGGATGAGATTCGAACCCGTGACCTTTGTGTCACGCTGGCTCCGATACCATGTTAAAGGGTCATCTCAACCAATAGCTTAAGTTGATAGTTGAGGCCCAGAAATATGTTTTATACTCTATCAATAAGTAATGATGATAAATTTATCTCAATTGCTAAACATCGCCCGCGAATCTCCACATAAAGCCCACAAAATTAGAGTGAATTGTCACTTTTGCCCTCAAAGTAAAAAACACAATTTCTTCTCTCAATTCTCTACTTCCACTTTCTCTCTCTAAAAAACTTTCCGAGCGATGTCGAGGCGGCCCGGCAAGGAAGTGGCGGCACAGGCGGCGGGTGGACAGCGGTTTTCCGGCGAGAAGGTATTTTTTATTAATTTTGTGTTTAAAAATTAAAAAAAAAAGGTCGGAGGCGGTGGCGGCGCCTAGGCCAGACGCCACCACCACGGCGGCGGCGTCTAGCCCAGACGCCACTACCACGGCGGCGGCGCCTAGGCCAGACGCCGTGACGGTGGCGGTGGCGTCTGGCCCAGGCGCCAGAACCACGGCACCGACGTCTGGCCTAGGCGCCGCCGCCGTGGTAGTGGCGTCTGGGCTAGACGCCGCCGCCACCGTCACGGCGTCTGGCCTAGGCGCCGCCGCCTTTTTATTTTTTTTTTTAATTTTTTTTTGGTTTTAAATTTGAAATTTAATTTTCGAAAATAATTATTTTTTTTTTGATTTTTTTTTAAATTTGTTTTTCTTTTTTTTAATTTTAAATTTTATGTTTCTGATTTTTTTTTTATTTTGTTTTAAATTTTGTTGGTTTTTTTTAAAAAAATTTTATGTTCCCTTTTTTTTGTTATAAATTTTTTTTAAAATTTTGATGTTCTTCTTTTTTTAAGTTTTTATAATTTTATATTTTTCACTTTGTTTTTTCCAATTTGTTTTTTTTGGGTAATTTTTTTTTTTGCTTTGTTTTTTCCAATTTTTTATTTATTTATTTATTAGGTTATTAATTTTTTTATTTTTAGGTTGTTAATATTTTGTAATGTTTTTAATTTATTTTCCATCATATGTATATTGTTTTATTTATTTATTTTAATTACTTTTTTTATGTTTATATTACATGTTTATATTGCATATTACATGTTTTGTTATTTTGTGTTAGGCATCGTATTTTCGTTCTGGGGCTGGGAAGAGTATGGACATTATGAGAAGTACGATGAACTCAATGGAGAGCTCGGGGCCCAGACACGTTAGATCCCGTGGTATTTCGGCCTCGGCTCGTAGAGAACGGGTGCACTATTCTGAGGATGATGAAGATGATGATGGTGATGAGGAGGAGGAGGAGGAGGATGCAGATGAGGATGTGGACGATCAGAGTGGACCATATGATGATTACGGTCCATTCAGTCAGAGGCTTGATGATGTGTATGAGACGCGTAGGGTAGACGTGCGTAAGGGTAGAGATGGTAGATTTGTTAGTAGATCTGGCACATCATCTGCGTCCACTGTGTCTGCGGTTAGCAGAAAACGGTCGAGGGCCGTTAATGATTCTTGGGTGGTGAGGGGCGAGGTGGCTGGGGGACCTATAGACGGGAGTGTGATTCCTAGCTTTCTAGGACACATCGCTACCCGTATTTGGGAGGACCAAGAGCGGGCTTTGGATAGCGGCATTTTGAAATGCCAAACCCGGGAGAGGACTTGTAACTTCTTGTGTAGTTGGGCTGAGGCTTGGCCGGAGGAGAGCGAGATGGTCGGCCGATTGAGGGCCACTAGAGTGAGCCACCTTCCTGCCACCATGCATGAGAGGATTGACTCGACGCTGATCACGGCTTTCGTTGAGCGATGGCAGCCGGACACGAACTCTTTCCACCTTCCGTTCGGTGAGATGACGATCATGTTGCATGACGTCGAGGCCATCCTTGGGATTCCCGTAGAGGGAAACCGAGCATCTGTTGTCACAGATGCGGATCAGGCAGATTTATTGGCGGAGCTGTTGGCGGTGGATAGGGCTGCGCTGTACACAGCGGCACTTGGTGTGTGGGATCACGGCGGTGTTAAGATCGCAGCAGTTTTGCAGCGATG